CAGTCATCTCTTAACTATTACCATCGGAGCAGAGCTCTGAGTTTCCCAGAGCAGCTACATGCTCTGCCTCCCTGGCTGCACTCAGCCATCAGGCCCTTGGTCTAGTCCTGTGTTGTATGAGCCCTAAAAAATCTTGCCTTTGCCCTAATGCAGTTTTACTAAGAAAGAATCTCTATTAGATACTCAAACACTTGACTGGACAAAGCAACAGATGGTACATAGGCCTGTTCACACTTTTAAATGAGTCAAAAAGTATGTTACTAGTAATAAAATAACAATAAAATTCCAGCAGTATAACAGAATATACATTTCCAAAATGAGCCAGATCAAATAATTTTGAAATACCCTTTGGGGCTTTTTATGATCCATAAAAGAAAGCCGCTTTTATTACTTTTATAGTTTTTTTTTATCTGAAATAGTATACTCAGATTTATCACTCATCTAATTCACCAGACATGGCTCCAGATGACTTTTGTTTATTTTCAATAATTAAGTTTTCCCCAAAATATCCTCAGGGCTAACACAAGGTATGTTTAAAGAATATGCTCCATATTCCAAAGGCAATGCAAACAAACAAATGAAAACAAAAACAAAGAAAAGAAAAAGAAAGAAAGAATATGAAATTTGGCATATTTATAAGTTTCCATCATAGCAACAAATAGCCTCAAAGGTTCANAAAAGATATTTTATGAAAATGGAAACAAACAAACAATAAGAGCTGAAATAGCAATAGTTACACCAGACAAAACAGACTTTAAAACAAAGGCTATAACAAGACACAAAGAACGACCCAGTAATCCCACTTCTAGTTATTTCTCCAAAGAAACCCAAAATGCTACTTCAAGGGGACATGTGCATCCATATGTTCATTGCAGCATTGTTTACAATGGCCAAGATGTAGAGGCAGCCTGGGTGTCCATTGACTGATGAATGGATAAAGAGTCATTCATAAAGGTGGAACATATATATAATTGAATATTGCTCAGCCAGGGAAGGGAATGGGTTCTTGCCATCTGCTGCGGCATGGATGGACCTGGAGGGTATTGTGCTGAATGGAGTGTCAGAGAGAGAAAGACAGATGTACTATGATCTCACTTATGTATGGAATCTAAAGAACAAAATAAACAAACAAAACAAAAACAAACAAATAAATAAATATAAAAACAACATAGAATTAGACTGAAAATAATCTTAACTGTATCAACTTTTCTAAATTTTGATTTCTAATTGCTTTAAGTTTAGGTTAGCATTTCAAGAAAATCACTGTGTCAAGAGTTGTATAGATATTCAAAGATTAAATAATGTAAAAAAGTAAGCACTACTTCTATGGCTGACTTTGGTGTTAGTCCACATCATCAGAAAAAGAGAAAAGGCATGCACATTCATCTAGTTATCTATCCATTCATCTAATCTTTATCGGGTACCTCCCAGTTTGCTAGGATGCATCAGTGAACAAAACACAGTTGTGTGCTTTTAGGGGCTTACATTTTAGAAGGAAAAAAAGAAAATATACAAATAAATGTACGATGTCAAATGGTGACAAGTATTATTATGACAAATACAGCAGTGTTCAAAATGCACTGGTAGGCAGAGAAGATATTCTGCAAATATCTGAATGGAGTGAAGGAAGGATCCATCCAAATGCGTGTGGGAAGCTGCTGCAAAGCTGCGGGCTGGGACGGTACACATGTGGACTCGTGAAGGCCAGAGTGAACCAGGGGGTTGGCAGTGAGACCAGGTAGGGGTCAGAGCACCACAGGCCATGGTAAGAGTCTTGGATTTTATTGAGAAGGAGCTAGAAATCTGCAGATGGATTTTGAACAGGGAAGAATATGAAATGATTCACAATTTAAAAGCCTCATAGCTATTGGGTCATGAATAGGTTTTGTACGTGTCTGTGTGTATGTGTGGGGATGCAAGGATGAAAACAGGCAGAACAGTTCAAATAGTCCCAACTTAGAGTAAGGTGACAGTGATGAAAATGGTATAAAGCAATCAGGTTCAGGATATATGAGTACATTAAAGGTAGAAACAACACAATTTGTTGTTTTGGACTCTGCACATGAACTTGAAATCATGAGAAATGCCTAGAAACAATGGAATGTGAGGAAGAAATAGTGAGCTTAATCAACTACTTTTTTAAAAAAACAAAAGTCAACGAAAATTGTAATAATGTACTTAAGCATTGTCACATTTCATCTTGAAATATTCAGATTTCTGTTTCCAACCCAAACATCTTCAGGGTTGGTACCAAAGTATTCGTTTCTAACGTTTTTATCTGTAGAGCCCTTTTAAAAAATGAAATCTTCTACTGCATCACAACATATAAAATACACAGTTGCATTTTATTCATATAAATGTTTTACATATATCCATCCAAGCTTGTAACATTTATAATAAATTTCATTAGTTAAATGATAAGGCTGTTTTAAAGAATATTAAAATGTTAGTGCCTTCCTGAAGTTTAAACATTTGTTGGATGGCATGATAAACAGATGAATGGAGGAATTTATGTAGAGAATCTTCGAAGGTTCAAGAACTAGCACATGGGGAAAGTCACTAGCAAACCACTTTAGCATAGAAAGGAGAAGGTGCTGTAAAGATGACTCCCGGGTCATATAATCGCCATTACCCTTCCCTAACCTTCATCTGTTGCAAACTTCTAATTCAATCACACATGAATAAAGTATTAACATTTGACACAAATAGAATTAATAACCTCGTTTTTCACTTTGCATGTTCCTAATTTAATAGAAGCAATATGATAATGTAAGAGCACTGTTCTTAAAAAACACAATCAATAGGACTCTTCATTTTCACCTTTCATTTTTATTTTTATTGAGCTCACTAATGGAGCTTACCATATCTTAGAAGATCAAGTACTGAATGACCTTTTGACATTCACAATGTACTATTTTTGAAATGCTGAAAGACAGGGAGTCATGTGCAAATCACTTGATACTGTTAACTGAACTATCCAGCTATTCATTGATTACAAATTCACCAATTCAGTAAAACCAGTTACAACTATGTTAGTTTGCTCAAAGTTGGCAAATAGATTTTAAATAGACACTGCTTCAGAGAATTTATTCTACACCTCCTACTTTTAGAATCATTCAAGTATAGTAGTATTTCTCTGGTAGGAAATCCAACACACAAAATGCTGACTTCCAAAACCAAGAAGCAAGAAAGCAAGGGAATATTTTCTTTTCAAAGTTTTATCCTTGATTGTCTTCCCTGTTGAGTCTTTTTTTTTTATCAGCCATGATTATTTATTTATCTTGATGTTTATCCTTCCCTGTTGATTCTTGAATGCTCTCCCCAGCCAGAGCCTTTAAAACATTGTTTGTTTTATAAAATTTTGTTTACAAATAATTTTTCAGAAATTTTTCAGCTATGTTAAGCCAAGTAGACCTGACTCAGGAACCGATGTAAGATAAGGTTTGCCTGACGAGAATCCTGATACACATTCCACTTTTGATAACTAAGGTCCTTCCCTGGGAATCTGTGCAAACAGGCTCCTCACTTCTCATGATCAAATGTTTGGGCTATCACCCTCTCATAAGGATCACCGCCCCTTTTCTTGTAAATCTTTCTGTCAAGCTCTACTCATGACCTCACAGCTGCCAACTAATCTTCCTCCTTGTTTTCAGAAACATATCATCTTTGATTTAATGAGCCTATTCTTTAAATGCTTAAAAGGAAATTCTTAGACCTCCTTATGTTTGATTGTTGAATTGATCTGACTGACCCAGTTTCCGTAAGTCCAGTGTGAGGTCATGATTTGTGAGACTACAGGGAGCAAATCATTATTGTGACATCTTCTCCCTTATAAAAAAATAAGTTGTGATTAATTATTGTACCTCATGATCTTTGAGCAGTAATAATCAGTGATTAAAAACAATTTCTAACCATTTATGATTCAAAATTGGTTTCTCAAAGATTGAGTTTCAAAAAAAAATAATGAATGCAAATGCTACTGTAAATTCTTTTCTAAAAATATTGTAATCTTGCCCTTGTTGCACTGAACAAAAAAGGCATGTGCTTAACAATGAGAAAATGAGTCAACGTATTGATGTGAAACTGAGCAGCTTAATTTTGTTGGTTAAAGAGGATTAATGCGAAAGATAAACCAATGACTGAAATGCATCTTAGGGCAATAAATAAATAAAACACTTGCATAAACTAAAAAAGTCACTTTTTCTCTGTTGGCCTCAACCATTGCATTTCTAAAAATAGAAAAGTTGATTTATTCCACTATGTTTTAAACATATGTTCCCTCAAACCACAAAGTTCCCTGGAGCTATCTTGGAATGTGAAAGGGAAGACCCAAACCAACAGTGGTCTAAGCTGCCTCTCTCAGTCTCAATGGGCAAATTTTATTTTTTTTATCTGTTTTTCTAATGGGGATGGGTGTGGGAGGAAGAAGATGGTTCTAAAGAAGATGTTGTTTAAAATTGTATACTACTTATACAATTAAAAATCACTTCTAAATAAGATTATTTCCATAAATCTTTCTATATTTCAACTCCCATTCTAAAGCTTATGTTCCAAGGGTATTTTTTATTTGGGAAGATACTGAAAGAAATCATTATTCTCTCCACACTGTGCAAATTTTAATCTAAAAGTTATAGCACATGTGTCTTATGAAAAGGCAAAATGCTCTCTTGTATCTGGGCCCATACAACCATTTATACAGTATTGAGGTTTCCAATGTCAATTTCTATCTTTTGCTCATGATTGCTACTTCTTTGCCTGCTCAATTAATTCAGATAAAATACTGAACACATCAAGCCTAGCTGTGTGGGTCAAGTATAGATAATGTATCTATAGCAACTGTTCAGTATATGTTGAGAAATTTTTAAAAAAATCAGATCTATTATAGTATTCTGTTTTATCGGTAATAACTTTAGTGTATCTGCTGAATCAATTAACACAATGGTGCCTTGAATACAATTACTGCTCTTGTTATTCTATTTTTGTTCTGTTTGTTATTGTAGTGGTTGTTTTGCCAATGCTTTTGACAATGACAAGAAACAAAGTAAGTTACTAAACTTGAGTATCTTTGAAACCAGGCTTGTCTTGAACAGTGAAAAGAGCTCCTCCAGCATTCTTCTTTTCATTAAATTGAACATGTAGACTACATAGCATTTAAATAATAAATCTCTTTGACTTAGCAGTTATTCTGATTGAGAAGAATTTAAGTTTTCCAAAAGGTCATGTTTGGAAAAACATTTTTTGTAAAACGAGCTACACTGTAACCAAAACTATTTATGAAATCTAAAACAATATGAGCTAGAATTCAAACTGCATATTGCTAGGCATAACAAGAACAAATACTATTATTAATTAACACATATTAACATCAGACTTTTGCTAAGTACATTCCTAAATTATATCATTTAATCCTCAGAGGAAATATTAGATATTATTGAAACTCAGAGAGGTTAAGTCACAGACCAAAAGTCACACAGTTATTAAATGATCCAACCATATTACAAACTCAGATATATTTCAGTCCTTAGCCTGTTTTTTTCCTATATTTCAAGGCCTTAAAACTAAATTACAGCTTCTTAATTGATTGCCAATGGTATTATCAATCCAAGAAAGAGAAATGGGACCATGAATGAGGTTCAGTGAGGCAGAATTTACCATGCAGAAACAATAGACTTTCTCTTGCTGGATTATTTGTCTATTTACACTTTTCCAGAATTCTTGGGAAAGGAAACAAGCAAAATTCATCAATAACTTACTCTCTCATCACCCTGCTTTCCTCGTTTGTGAAAATAAGTATTATACTATAGACAGAAAAAAACATTAAAATAAATCAGTTATTTTGTTCTGTTGCTAAACAAAATTAAGGGGAACAGAAAGATATTAAAGCAGAAACTAAGAAAATAAGGAGTTAAGCATTACTGGAGTTGTCTAATATTAAATATTATTACAAAGAAAAATACTGTTTTAGGGAAAAAAGTATTTACGGGGCAAAGTAGAGCATGTAAATATTTGATTTATAATTAGAATTAATAATTTCCAAATTATGGCTCAGTAAATGTCATTTTCTAAGAAATGTGAACAGTAAACTGTTTTTGGGGGTTTTTTTAATGTGTGTGTCGGAAAAAAAACACAAAAAAAACACAATTAATTCCAAAGCACTTTCCATTGGGGCACTATCATCCAACCTCCTCTGATGATTTCAGAAACAAAGAGTCTCAAAGTGAGACCCCTGAAACTTTTCTTAAAGGATGATTATGAATGGAGAATCCCACGAAAGACTAAATGATTTGGTGGTCCAAAGTAGACAAGACTTGTTTCTAAAGAGCATCAAAACCAAAAATAGCAGTGGGGATAAAGGCCACCCATGGGTTGTTACAGTCTATTTTAATTTTGATATTATAGATATATCTTTTTATTATTACTATAACTGCTTACATCTTAAATAAGATTAAATTTTAGGGTCAGACTCTTTTGGCACCAACATTATTGGTAGCAGGCAATCAAAACCTTATTGGTAGCAGTCAAATCTAAAACAAACTTTTTTTTTTTTTCGGAAATAGATGCTCTGATTAGTTATCTAAATGGATTCATTCTCCCACATAGGCATGCTGTGTCACAAACACACATCACTTTTTTTCTTACATTAGTAATTTTTCCCCTTGAGATACAAGAAATTTCAATTTCAAAATGCCATGGCTTATCTAATAGAAAAGTGCTCTGTGGGCTAACTTCTTTTCAAATTACCTAACATTCAGCTAATGTAACTTTGCCAATGATGGACTTTTGATCTGACCATTTATTTAATTAAACAATTATTTTTGCTTAATAAAAATTCCTCCAATAGTTTTCCCCATGACCTGAGTCCTCAAATTACAATATTATGGAACACATCTGGTAACCTCTTGGGATATTTCAAAATTCTGAAATACAATAATTAATGTGTAGGTAAATAAATATATTTTAAATATATGTATATAAGTTTAATATTAATTTCTTGATATTAGAGGAAATAGCATGTAAACATATAATTTAATTGGATTGTATAATTCCATAATTATTAACAATAAGTTTTAATTAAGATATAGAAGAAACCAATTTTATGAAGAATGGGTTTATTTTACAGTCAGCTCATTAATTCAACAAATGTTGACTACTACTTTCTCTGTCAGAACCAGAAACTTTGTTAGGTCACAAGAGTATACAGTCCTAGTTCTGCCCTTAAAGGATTTAAAGTCTACCAGAGGGTAAGGGGGGAACAAGGGTGATAGATGAGGGTAAAAAGGATAAAATATATGGTGATGGAAGGAGAACTGACTCTGGGAGGTGAACACACAATGTGATACAAAGATGATGTATTACAGAATTGTACACTTGAAACCGATGTAACTTTACTAACCACTGTCACCCCAATAAACTCTAATTTTAAAAAAAAAGAACTTAAAGTGTAGTTAAAAAAATTGAAACAAATTTTAAAAACACAATAAAATAAGTGTTATAAGAATAATGGATACAGGGAAATACTTCACCCTTACTGAGAGGATATTGCACACCTGCCCAAGATTGGAAAAAAATCTAAGAAAATCTTTTTGAGAAAATGTGCTAATTAAGTTGAACATTAAAGTATACACAGGTGTTGGCATATTGAAATATCATTTCAGTCACAGAGGCTGAGGCAATGCAAAAGCATTGTAGTGTGAGAAAGCAGAGAAGATTCAAGTTATTTTAAGTATGGAATATGTTCAGAATGGAAGAACATGAATGGGAATAAGAGACAAGACTAAGAAGTGGAGGAGCTAAATCATGAAGTGCCTTGTATGTTACACCAAGGTTTTATATTTTGTCCTGAAGGCTATATGGATTTTCATCACTAGAACAGTACTTCATTAGCCTAAGTAAAGAGGGCTAATCTGAGGGAGAAAAAAAAATTAAAATGCAGGTGTAGGAAAATCAACACCAGTTGATTCTAGGAATACCTTCAAGAAATTAAGGCCTCAGTTAAATTCTGTCAGTGGGAGCAGAGAGAAGAAATCAGATTTGAGAGCTATTTAGATGGTAAGCACAATAGGATATGGTAATAAATTTGATGTTGGGGATGAAGGTGAGAGAAGAATCATGGATGGCTACCTTGTTTTTAGTTAAGGCGATGGAAGACTGGTGATTCTATTCATGGAGATAAGTAACTCGGGTAAAAGAGCAGGTATTGGGGGGGAACTGTGATGAAATTAGTCATGTTAAGGTTAAAATGTCTTTGAAAAATCCAAGAGTGATATCTTGTAGACAGGTGAACATATACATAGGTCTGAGTCACACACACACACACAAAAAAAATTCAAGGTAGCAAACTATATTAGTTGCTAGGGCTGCCATAACCGAGTATCATTTACTGGGTGGCTGAAACAATAGTTTTATTTTCTCACAGTAATGGAGGCTAGATGTTTAAGATCAAGGTGCTGACAGGCTTGGTTTCTGGCGAGGCTTCTCTTCCTGGTGTACAGACAGCCTGCCTTCTGGCTGGGTCCTCACATTGCCTTTCGTCTATGCACATGCTCTCCTGGTTTCCCTTCCTCTTCTGACAGGGACACCAATCTTATTGGATTAGGTACTCCCCCTTATGACTTCATGTTAATTACCTCTTGAAAGGCCCATCTCCAAATAGTCCCACTGGGGGTTGGGACTTCCAACATATGAATTTGAGGGGACACAATTCAGTCCATAACAGAAACATAAATTTGATGATAGGACAGACATTATTAGCATCATTTTACAAATGGAGAGACTAAGGTTGCAACTAAGTTATTTGTGCCATCACAGAGACAGCATTGGCAATGGAATGTGCCTTGTATTCTCTCTACATTCCTATGATATAGTGGATAGGACAATTATCCCTTCCCAGCAAGTACAGCCTCAACAACCACAACCACCACAACCACAACAAATCATCACATAAGCCAACAGATATTGAGCCAGGTAGGTTATGGAGGCCTCACAGAACACCGTTAAGTTTTTACTGAACACCCGGAAGAAATAGGATTTAATGGTACTAGCCGACATTAGGAGACATGCTATTTCATGACGATAAGCAAGAATGCCCCAGAAATTTTCTCAGGACATCAAACTCAGGCCCAAATCTTATGGATAGTATCCCAGGGAACCTTTAATATCCTCACAGTATAAACCATGCTATTTGTGACTCTGAAGATTGAAGGGTGAAGCAGCCACCCCAGCTGTGATTTGAAACTGATGTTCCAGGGAAACAAGGCATTTCAAAGCCAGCTTTGCCTTACACCTATAAGCTTGCCCCTCTGGCTGTGTTCAAACACATGAATCGTTCACTGCACAATATGACGATTATCCAGCTTTCACCAGAGGGCTG